GAGGAGGAGCTTTCGAGGCCGAAGGCCCCCTGCGTACGCTCGGGCCGGCACGGCTGGGCCCATCGGGGCCACGCGGCAGGCCCAGCACGAGGCGCCGGCCGCGCAGGCGGCCAGCAGCGGCGGGCCGAGCGCCAACAGCAGGGCACTCCTGAGCCGGGGGGGGGCGCTCCCTCCCTCGCCTCGCTGTGCCTCCCTCCCGGCTCCTCCTCCTCCTCCTCCTCTCTCCTCCTTCCTCTTCCTCCTCTCCTCCGCTCCCTCTTCCCACGTCTCCTCCTCCTTTTTCTATCCCCTCTCCTTTTCTCCCCTGCTGACCGTTCTCACCCACTCTCCTCCCTCCACCGCCCGCCTCCTGCTCCTCCTCCTCCTCCTCCTCCTCCTCCACCTCATCCTCCTCCGCCGCCTCCCCCTCCGCCGCCTGCTCCTCCGCCTCCTCTTCACATTGCAAAGGAATCCCTGTTTTTTCGCTCCATCTTGGAGCCCCTTCCTCGTGAGGGTTGCTCTGGAGACCGTGGGGGCCTCCTTGGAAATACTCTCCCTCTTGGCTCCTCCTCCCTCCCTCTTCCCTCCTCCTTCCTCCCTCTTCCCTCCTCCCCCTCCTCGTCCTGCTTCCTCCGCCTCCTCTGGTGCTGCGGGCATCGGTGTCGGTGCGCCCGACGCTGCCCCTCGTCCTCCCTCCTCCTCGTCCTCCTCGTCCCCGCGCGCGAACGCTCTTGGGCGTGGCAGGTGAGGGTCGGTGGGGTGCGGGGAGGGGGAGGAGGAGGAGGAGGAGGAGGAGGAGGAGGAGGAGGAGGAGGAGGAGGAGGAGGAGGAGGAGGAAGAGGAGGAGGAGGAGGCGGCGGAGGCAGAGGAGGAGGAAGAGGAGGAGGGAGGCGGAGGTGGAGGAGGACGAGGAGGAGGCACAGAAGGAGGAGAAGGAGGAGGAGGAGACCGCGTTCATACGCAGCGATCCCTGACCACCGTCAGCGCATCACGAAAAGGACGAGGCCGTCTTGGCGCCAAGGATGCTGTGGACACTCATTGGCTCCTCCTGAAGATTCGGATGGATTTGGAGGCCCATTGGGATTCTCGTGGGCCACTATTGGGGGCCTCCTGGGCCAGTCTTGGGGCGGTCTTGGGGGCCTCTTTGGCCGTCTAGGTCTCCCTGAGTACCGAAAACGCGATACTGCCAAGATCATGCATAAACGACACAGGGCTATCAATATGTTTGGCCCCTTGGGGGTCTCTTGGAGGTCTCTCTTGGGGGCCCTCGTGGGCCATCTTGGGGCGTATTGGGTATGTTTCGGGCCGCCTGGGGTGGGGGTGTCGTGGAAAAAAATGGATGCCGTGTTTGGCCGACCTGGAGCCTGTCTGTCTTATCCCGTGGTTGTCTCGAGGTGTTGTCGTCTCTAGCCTGGTCTTGGGCTGCCTTGGAGACCTGCCAGGCCAAGACGGGATCCATCTCACATCGGTGCAGTCGCCACGGTTTGACTTCAGGGGTCCGTAGTGGAGGTCAGTCCACAAGAAACCCAACCCTGATACCCCAGGACGTCAATTGATGTTTGGTCTGGGCACGTCACGCCTTCCACAGCAAAGACATCGAAAACCAGGAAAACCCAGGCACCCGGGAGGCGAGAAGGGTGTTTCTTGGCACGGGCCCCCACTGCTTGAGCAGGGACCAACCGTCCCGGCATGCTATAGGCCTACCACAAAATGTTCGTAGAATCCAGAACTGTTCTAAGAACAAAAACAATGTTCTTAGAACAGAAAGCTGATGCGTTAAAACAAGACAGTCCCAACCAGAACTGGTCTGAGAACATTCCGTTGAAGCCACAACATGTTCTTAGACCACTCTTTGGTAGGCCTGTAGGCGAGCCAGAACGCTTCGCCTCTGCTTGACCTTCACACCTCTTCAAAAAAAACACCCAGGGGTTCTGGACGGGCCCTCCCGCGACCCACCGCAGCGCCCAGGCTGGCCAAATACGGCGGCCAAACATGGTGTACGATAACTCAAGATGGCCTCCAACTCGTCGTCGTCGTCGTCGTCGTCGCCATTCAAGGTCATCGGCACCATCCGTAAGGCCTTAACAATGTGGCTTCCCAATCTGGCGTACGATAGATCGTGATGGCCTCCAACGTGCCCCAATACCGCCGCATGACGGCACCAAGTAGGTACTGAGCCCCCACGCGATACCCCCCATGAGGCCAAATCCATGTTTGTTTTTTGTTGGAAAAGCCAGGTTGTTAAATGATTATTGCATTCTCTCCTTTTCGCTTCCGAGGGGCTTCTAGGCGCGTCGAGGTGGCCCCTAGATCGCCCATGGGAGCCCCAAGGAGAACCTGGGATGACCCTAAGACTGCCCAAGAAGGCGCCCATGAGCCGCATGAGCGCCCCGAGAAGACCCGAAGGGAGGATCTGTTTCGGGCTTCGACGGGGCGAGGATGACTGGACCAGCCTTTTCTTGACTAAGCTTGCCCGGGGGTCTTTTTCTTGGCGGCGCACGCGGGTGGGAAATGAAAACTAGACGGCATTCTCAAAAGGCGTCGGGGCTTCTCAGAACCCCATCTGGCCTTCCGAAAAGTGTCCTTCGTCGTCGGGGAAGGCTTGGACAACTTCTCAGAAAGCCGGGGGACTTCCGAGCCTCCTGAGGCCTGCCCTTTCTCACCTCCCCCCCAGGCTCGCCGCCGACGTGCGGCTTGCTTCAGTACCTCCCCCCATGTAGGTGCCCCCCAGGTGAGTTTTTTTGCTCGGATTCGGCGTTTTGGCATTGGGCGGCGGGCGAGTGTTGGCAACAGTGCGGCCGATGGGGGAAGGACCCCACCTGCTCGAAACAGGCGTCACAAACAGCCAAGATCTATTCCATGGGGGGGGGGAGGGGGGTGCGAGGGCCCGCGCTTATCGGCAAAACAGTGATTCAAAAGACGCCCGCCAGGCGGTGGGACTGCTCTTTGCTGGGCAACGCAAGTCGTGAGCCTCCCGCGGCGGCACCCCCGCCCCGTGCGCATCCCGTGGACTCCCCGTGGGTTTGCCCGCTCGCCTGCGGCGCACATCGCGTGACCGGCGTCGCTGCCAGGAATTGGGGCGTCACCTAACCTACTGGAGGGGGGAGAAACGTGCACTTGTCGGCCCCGAAAGGCCCCCACCGGGGCTATGATGCTCCCATCGTACCAGAATACCACACTCCAGAAATCATTTCGAGCACCCCAAGCAGCCAGCATCGAAGCAATGTCGGACGAGTATCGCCTCCCAGGGCCCGACGCGCGAAAACCCTCCAGCTTCGGGATTTTCTCGGTACGCGAAATTCTTTCGAATGATCAAGGCTATAGTAAGTTCGAACATCATACATCTGGGGCCCGAGAAAGTGCCACTTTGGGGGCCCTGAAGGGGGGCACCCTTGCTGCAGCCCTCGCTCCACCCCCACTATATGTGCCTCCCCCACAGAGGCATCCTAATGCCAGCTTGTGGTGGACAAATCCGTGGGGGGCGCGTGTTGAAAAAAATCGTTCCCCTGCTCGGGCGAGTCGCAGGGCGGCGCCCGCCAGGTTGAAAGTCAACGGGGCGCCGCCTGTGATTGACGCCGACGCCCGGCCATCAAACGAGGGGCAAGGGGGGGCGTTTGGAGGCAAGGGCGAGCCAGGGCGCCCCTCGTACTGTCAAACCGATGCGGGCCTGCGGGCAAGGCGGGCAGGGACGAAAGTGGGGCGCAGCAGAGGGGCGACTTGCCAAGCAGCTCACGTCGCCGACTTTCCAAGCGCCTCCTGGCGCCGAAAGCGGCCACGCGTCGAGCACTGGCCCTGCGGCGGGGCGACCGAAACCAGCTCTGCGCAGCAGGCTTTGCAACACCCCTGGTCCTTCCCCAGCCTCTTCGTCCGACCCGAGCAGGGCGGACAATCCTTCTCCCCCCCCCCTGTCGCCGTCGTCGACGCCGTCCCCCGCCCTGCCTGCGCCCGTTTCCACCGGCCGCCGCCGATGACGACGACGACGGGACAAGGACGAGGACGACGGACGGCGGACGGCAGACGGCGACCGCGGCGGCGACGACGACGCACTGCGGATGCCCTATGGTGTGTGTGTATGTGTATGTGTGTGCTGCGCAGGCACGACGACGACAACGAAGACGAAGACGACAACGGCAAGGACGACGAAAAAGAAAACGACGACGACGACGCCTGAGAGGAGGAAGGAAACTTCGCCTCGGATGTGTACGACCCTTATAACGACTTCTACACGGAAGGCAGTCTTTGTCAGGCTTTCATGCAGGGGTACACGATCCCCTCGGCGGCGCCTGCGACGACCCAGAGGCGCGCGTGATAAAAAAGGTTTCGCGCCCCGCGGGGTCTACTCATCAACACTAGGGGTGCCTCCTTTTGTTAACCACAAGCTGACATCCGATGGGGTCGGAGGATCGCGCCGCATCGCCAAGGCATCGATGCGGCGCGATCATCCGAACCCATCTACTCAGACACCATCTGGGAGGCCTAGAGCGCATGAAGCGAGGCTCAAAGGAAACTCAATCTGGCCGTGCCGGGCTGTGCGGCCCCTCAGCGGCCACGCCTGGATCCCGGTGGCCCTGACGCCGCCCGCAAGGGGCAGCGCGGCGCGTCTTCCCCCCCGTCGTCGTCGTCGTCGTCGTCGTCCTCCTCCTCCTCCTCCTTCTGCTCCTCGTGATCCTCGTCGTCCCTTGCCGCCGGTTATCATTGGGGTCCCTATGGGGTGTTCTTTTGTGTGATCTGCAGGGTCAGCTGACACACCGAAAGTTTTCAATACCTCTCCCTTGTCCATGACATCCCCTTGGTCAGATTTTGAGCGCAGATGGCTTCCTCAAGATGGCACAAGACAGCCAGAGATTGCACAGTACCGCATCCATTACGACTCCAAGAGGCACCCACACGGCTCCAAATGGAATGGAAGCCTCCGAACGTCACTCCCGAGATGGCAAACTGGCCTTCAACTTTAACAGCTCCACGTGTATTAATGATGCTTGCCTTCTAGCCTGTTTGCGTCCGATGAGCTTCTGAGGCCTCAAGACGGCTTCAACATCGGCCAAGACAACCAATGACAGCCCCAAGAAAGCCCAAGAGTCTCCTAAGAGGTACTGGAGAGACGATGTGTCTGGCTTCGACGGTGGTAGACCAATTCAAATCGCTCAATATTTGGCCCGATGTCTCCAA